AACAGCAAAAAAGACAGATAATCCAATTTAAAAATGGGCAGAAGCCATGAATAGACACTTCACCAAAGAGGAGATTCAGGCAGCCAACAAACATGAAAAAAATGCTCATGATCATAAGCCATTAGAGAGATGCAAATCAAAACAACGAGATACCATCTTGCCCTAGCACTAGTAGCAAAGTTCAACAAGACAGAAAATAACAAATGCTAGCAAAGATGCAGAAAGATTGGGACTCTCAGGCACTGGTGGTGAGACTGTCAAATGACACAACCACTGTGGAAAACGGTATGGTGATTCCTTAAAAATTATAATTAGAATACCATTTGATCCAGCCATTCCTTTTGGTGTTCTTGCTGTGATGTGCCATTGAGTCGTCTCTGACTCATAGTGACCCCTCCTTGGGCGAGGTGATATTTCTACAGCAGTAGATTGCCTAACTTTCCTTCCGAGGAGTGGCTGGTGGGTTTGAACCGCCAACCTTCTGGTTAGCAGTCAAGTGCCTTAGGCACTATGCCACCAGAGCTCACGCCATTCCATCACTAGGTATATATTCTAAAGAGGTGAGAGAACCAGGACAAAAACAGATATATGCACACCCCTGTTCATTGCAGCACTATCTGCAATAGCAAAAAGATGGAAACAACCTAGGAGCCCATCAACAGAAAAATGGATAACCAAACTATGGCATATACACACAACAGACTACTATGCAACACTAAAGAATAATGTAGAATCTGCAAAACACTGCATAATGTGGATGAACTTGGAGGACATTATACTGAGTGAAATAAGTCAATCACAGAAGGAGAAATATTGTATTAGTCATCATTGTAAAAAGTCAAGGAAAAGTTTATATATGGAAGGAAATTTTCTTTGTTGGTTACCAGGAGTGGGAGGGGAGAGGAGGGAACAATAGGTAGAGACAAGTACTGATTTGGGTGAAGAGAATGGCAGTGTACCAAACGTCAATGATCAACACATGGCACTGAGGAAGAGGAAGACATAAGAGGTGCATGGGAGGTACAGACAACAAAGTTGAACCCTTTTGCACATACAGTACTGTGTTGTCAGTGAAGGCAAACACTGGTATATGAATAGATAGATGGGTCCACAGACTGAACTCTTAGCCAGAGGGGAGTGTGCCCAAGACCATGTATAAGGTTGGCAGACAATGCTTCTACAAGTGTATTTGTATGTTCTGTAAGAATCCCAGGTACACAGCAGAGCTGACAAGGGGCAAGGTTGTAGTCACTTCTTGGCCACAGCCAGAGACCCAGAGGCAGCGAGTAGTTGGACCTGTGGGCTCAGGACCATAGTTGCAGGGGACATCAAGCTCAATTGGCATAACATACTACATGAAAACACTGTTCCTCATCCTACTCTGGCAAGTAGCAACTGGGATCTTAAAAGCTTGCAAGCAGCCATCTAGATGCAACAATGGATCTCTCCTCATCTAGAGCAAAGAAGAATGAAGAAAACCAAAGACACATGGAAACAATTAGTCCAAGTGACTGGTACACCATGTGATCCTCAGTCTATATGACTATGAGACCAGAAGAACCAGATGGTGCCCAGCTACAACTGTCAACCACTCGGAGGGGGATTTCTGTAGGAGATCCTGGATAGAGTGGGAGAACAATGTGCAACAAAACTCAGAATCACTAAAAAAAAAAAAAAACTAGATCTGCTGGTGTGATGGAGCCTGATGGAACCACTGACACTATGGCCCCTAGCTGCCCTTCAGGTCTGGAATTGAACCTAGTCCTGTGGCTTCCAGCCAAATAAAAGACAGGCATATGAGCTGAACTTTACATTAGGTAGATATACTCCTGTGATCAATCATGGGAGAACAGAAAGGGTTTATGCACAGGGAAGACAGCTCAGGGGCCAGGAGTGCATAAGAGGGAAGGAAGGACACAGAGAAGAGGTAACTATGGGGAAGAAGTAGGAGGGGAGATGTTGCATTGTGGGGAATTGTAGTCATGTCATGAGACAAAGTGTATGTGAGCAGCTATATGGAAAGTGAGTTTGCTCTGTAAACTTTCACCCAGATCACAACAAGAATTAAAAAAAATTAAAAAAGAGAGAGAGACCATGTAAGTTAATTTAGCTACACCTTCATTTTATAGATTAAGCAAATTGAAACCCAGAGACAGACAGTAACTTCCCCAAAGTCACACTTTCTTGGAAGCTAATTTTTTTCAGGTAAGTACTGGGTATAAGAGAAGGCTTACTTAGAAAGCATTCATATTAGTATAGAGAAAGCAAAACATTCTAGTGTCTAAGAACATGGATTAAAAAGAACCAAACCAAACCCACTGCCATCAAGTCAATTCCGGATCATAGCAAGCCCCATTGTGTTTCCAAGGCGGTAAATCTTTACAGAAGTAGATTGCCCAGCCTTGCTTCCACAGCGTGGCTGGTAAGTTTGAACCACTAACCTTCTGGTTAGCAGTCAGATGCCTTAGGCACTGTGCTACCCAAGCTCCTTAAGAAGATGGATTAAAAAAAAAAAACCCAAAAAACCAAACTCACTGCTGTAGAGTTGGTTCTGACTCATAGCAACTTCTCCTTGGGTTTCCGTGGTGGTATCTCTACAGAAGTAGATTGCCCAGTCTTCCTTCCAAGAAATGGCTGGTGGGCTTGAACTGCCAGCCTTCTGGTTAGCAGTCAAATGCCTGAGGCACTATACCACCAGAACTCCTTAAGAAGATGGACAGACAGGACATAATTACCTAGAAATTCTAAGTCAGCTTTTCCAAAGTAGCTGTTCCATGGAAAAGTAGCTCATAAATGTTTATAGGAATGGCAACAACAAATAAAAAGAATTCATGAACAAATAAATTTTGAAAATTATGTGTTAAAAAAAGCAAAATGGATTTGTGTATGCCTAACCTTCTCAGTGCCTTTAATACATTAATATCAACTGAGAATCCCCAAGAGCAGATTAGCATGGACTGAGTTTCATAAATTTATTGGGACCTGAAATTCATTTTGGTTAAAGTATTGGGCTCCTAACCAAAAGGTAAGTTTAAACCCACCATTGCTCCATGGAAGAAAAGGCAGTCTGCTTCCATAAAGATTTATAACCTTGGAAAGCCTATGGGGCCATTCTATTCTGTGCTATAGGGTTGCTGTGAGTTAGAATAGACTCAATTAGAAGTGGCTTTGGTTTTGGGTTTTAAAGAGTATATGAAGGAATATATATACTAAGAAACCTGTGCCTATAATCTTTAAACTCAGAGACCAGAAAACAAAGAATTTTCAAATTACAGTATATTATAGTAACAAATTATCCCTCCAATGATGAGGTATAGCAAGGATTGTGAGGATGGCGCATGACTGGGCAGTGTTTTGGTCTATTGAACACAGGGTCACTATGAGCAGAGCTAACTCAACAGCTCCTAACAACAGTTATCTCTTAGGTCTCATTCAAGGTTGCAACTTCTAATAACACATGCTTGTTTTGCATAATTAAATCAAACACTACTAGAGCAGTGGCAGAATATAGGAACTGATCTAGTGGCATAGTACCTAAGGCATTTGACTACTAACCAAAAGGCTGGCGGTTCAAACCCACCAGCCACTCCTCGGAAGGAAGGTTGGGCAATCTATGTCTGTGTGATAATACTGCCTCAGAAACTCAAGGAAGGGTCAGTAAGAGTCAGATCCAACTCGACAGCAGTGAGTTTCGTTTTGGTTTTTGGGATCCAGACAAGGAGCTCTATTGGCGCAGTGGTTAAGGCATTCAGCTGCTAACCAAAAGGGCCGCAGTTTGAACCCAACAGCTGCTCTGTGGGAGAAAGATAAGGCAGTCTGCTACTGTAAAAATTTACAGCCCTGGAAATCCTATGGAGCAGTTCTACTTTGCCCTATAGGGTCACTATGAGTCAGAATCAACTCAATGGCAGTGGGTTTAGTTGGGTTTAAAACCAGTGAGTTGCTGTATGGTTGAAATGTGTATGTTCAGGGTTCAATTCAATTTGACATGAATATTTATGACATGTAAGGCTCTTAAGTTCATCTTGCTAACCATTTATATTCTCTTTTCTTCTCTTTCAAATGTAATAACTAAACTAATTTACTACCACCTCCTTTCCATTCCCACAATGCAACTGCTCTCTTCCCACTTCCTCACCATAGTTACCTCTTCCTTCTGTCCTTCCCTCTCATGTACTCCTGCCCCACCAGCTGCCTCCTATTACATACACAGCCCTTCTATTTTCCCATGATTGATCTCTCCAAGGAGTGTATTTGGTCATGTTATTGAGCTGTGAGATTTTACTGTCATTTGCATCTGAGAAAGATGACTTCCAGAAAAGGAAAATGTACCCAAGGAGAAAGAGAGCACATACTTTTGCTCTCACACATATTTTATTTTGAGATAACCTAAATTTTCATCTAAGGAGCTCTGGTGGCACAATGCTTAAGGCATTTGGCCACTGACCAGAAGGCTGGTGGTTCCAACCCACCAGCTGCTCTGCAGAAGGAAGACAGGGCTATCTACTTCTTTAAAGATTTACCACCTTGGAAACCCAGTGGGGGCCACTATACGCTGGAATCAACCTGATAGCTATTGTTGTTGTTGTTATGTGCCATGGAGTCGGACTTGACTCATAGCAACCCCTCCTTGGGTTTCCAAGGCAGTATCACTACAGAAGTAGATTGCCAAACCTTCCTTCCAAAGAGTGGCTGGTGAGTTTGAACCGCCAGCCTTCTGGTTAGCAGTCAAATGTCTTAGGCACTATGCTACCAGAGGTCCTAACCTAATGGCAGTGGGTTTAAATTTATACCTGTGTATTAATATAATGACTAAGCCTTGGAAACCCAAGGAGGGGTTGCTATGAGTGGGGTCCGACTTGACAGCACATAACAACAACATACTTATTTAATCTGAGCTAGAAACTTTTCATTTATTAGGAAAAAAATATTAAAATCACAATGCTTTCTTTGCATCCAAATAGATTAAAAGATGGAAAAGCTCCTCTTTTCCTCAGTACCTCTTGAAAGTCATCCGCTCCTTTACTGGATCTTCCCCCACGGTCTTTGCGTTTGATTTTCTTCTGCAAACCACGTCCACGACCCACATTATAACTTTTAACCCTCTGTTCAATACCTAAAAAAAGTTAAAGCATACTTGAAATATTACAGAAAAACAGCATGCTTGTCAATCCATTTAGAAGGAACAGCATATTTTTTTATTTTTATTGTGGCTTGGGTTAAAGTTTACAGAGCTAATTCATTTTCCATACAACAGTTCACACACACCTTGTCTACTGACATTAACTGCAAATTCCCACAATGCAACTACTCTCTTCCCACTTCCTCACCATAGTTACCTCTTCCCTCTGTCCTTCCCTCTCATGCACTCCTGCCCCCCGAGCTGCCTCCTACTACATACACAGCCCTTCTATTCTCCCATGATTGATCTCTCCAAGGAGTGTATTTCCTTATGTAAATGTAAGGAACAGCAAATTTTAAATAATCTATACTGCACAATGCATTCCTTTTTTTTCTCTAGATTCAATGACAAAAATTAAATCTTTACAGTTCACTTACTGGGTTACTGCTTCTTGTCCCTCTATTGATTAAAGGATGCTAACAGCACAAGGAAAGCAAAAAACAAGGATATACATGGCTATAGAAGTAAAATTTCCTAATTGTATTCTTTTCAATATTTTTAGAAAAAGATCACTAACAAGACTCCAATGCCTTCCTATTTTTAGGATAATTAAATATGATATTCATTTTAAGGAAGACATTATAGGTATTAGTAGTTAATTTTTAGCAAACTGAGTTTCTATTGAACTTAAGTAAATAAACACATCCAAGTAAAAACTATATTCATCTTTAGCTTTTGAAACACTTGGCATTTTAAAGTATCTAAAAAGATACCAAGTTACAAATATTATATTAGGGTAGTAAGTTACAATACAATTTGTTTCTTCATTTTACCAAAGTTATACTGAACTAGTAAGTTTTTTAGTGCCATTAAAACTAATAAAACTTGATTGACTTAGAACTTTCCTAGATTACCTATATTATGGAAGAGTAAAGCTGTACTATGTTCTTTAATTTTAAAAACCGCTGATAAAAATTAACCTATAGTTTTATTTGTAGATGTTTAAATTGGTTCAGTACTGATGTAACTATATGGAGAATTATTTGGGGGGAAACAACAAAAAAACCAAACCCGTTGCCATGAAGTCGGTTCTGACTCATAGAGATCCTACAAGACTCGGTAGAACTGCCCCATAGGGTTTCCAAGGCTGTAAACCTTTACAGAAGTAGACTGTCTCCTCTTTCTCCCACGGAGCAACTGGTGGGTTCGAATCACTGACATTTTGGTTAGCATATGAGTGCTTAAACCACTGCTCCACCAGGGCTCCTTTTTGAGGAAATAGGAAGGAGAAAAGTATCCTAAAATAAGAGTGAGAGAATTACATTTATGACCTGAAATTGATTTGATGAGGCTCACTGGTTAGGATCTCATATCACTATATACTCTTTCTCACAGGACAGACAGATTCCTGGACCATGTTTTTATTAAACAAATAAAAGTAAACTTGATAGCATTCATTCTTCAACTTAAAATTTTTTATAAAGGAATGAATCCAGAACAGCATGAGCATCACCTAGGACTTCGTTAGAAATGAACATTATTGGGCCCCACATCCATCAGAATTGGAAACTCTGGGAACATTTCCAACAATCTGTGTTTTAACAACCTCTCCAGGTGATTCTCATGCACACTAAAGTTTGAGAACCACTGGTGTAGGGGAACTGCTTTGATAGCTTATGCTCAACTAATTAAAGATAAATATATAAATAGATTTGTTCCAACCATAAAGAGTGTGAAGAGAGAAAAAATCCAAAAGAACCAACAAAGGCAACTGATATAAAAGGATCACCTGCAAAAGAAAAACGTAAGAGGCAATAAACACATGAAAAAATGTTCAAAGTAAAGAAATTGAAAAATAATGTTCTGATTTTTTCCCCTCAAATAATAATGCTCTGGGTTGGCAAGGGAGTACCTGGCATTATCATACACTGGAATGGGGTGTTATAAATTGCTGTATCACTTTTTTTGCAAACCAATTTGGCATATGGATAAAAAATCTTCATATGTGTGGCTTTGCCTTTTGATACAGCAATTCTACTTTTCAGAATTTATTCTTAAGGAAAAACATTTCCTGTTTATTGCAGGATTAATTACACAACTAAAAAATAAACTGAATGTAACTTAAATATCACATAGTTAACAATCAACAAGCTTAACAATTTGATAGACAAATTATGGTATATCTATTAAATCTAATACAATGGAAATATTAAAAACTATTCATAAATTTAAGAAGGACTGAGCTATAATTCATAATTAAGGTGAAAATAAGTTATAAAAGTTTATATAGTATTTTGTTAAAAATAATGGTCAGAATAATATAAACCAAAATACTGTCATTGTGGTTATCATTAGGTGTCATCAAGTCAATTCTAACTCATAGTGACCCTATATACAATAGAAGGTAATACTGCCTGGTCCCACACCATACTCACAATCCTTGCTATGCTTGAGCCCATCATTGCAGCCACTGTGTCAATCCATTTCCTTAAGGGTCTTCCTCTTTTTCTCTTACCCTCTACTTTATTAAGCACGATAGCCTTCTCCAGAGAATGGTCTCTTTTACCATATGACTAAAGTTGCTGTTGTTGTTATGTGCCGTCGAGTCGGACCCGACTCATAGCAACCCCTCCTTGCGTTTCCGAGGCAGTATCACTACGGAAGTAGATTGCCCCGTCTTCCTTCCGAGGAGTGGCTGGCCATCCATGCTTCTAAGTACCATTCCAGTTGCCCTTCTTCCAGGACAGATTTGTTTGTTCTTCTGGCAATCCATGGTATTTTCAGTATTCTTTGCCAATACCATAATTCTGAAAGCATCAATCCTTCCTCGGTCTTCCTTATTCATTGTCCAGCTTTCACATACATGTAAGGCAATTGAAAATGCCATGGCGTGAGTTAGGTACACATTAGCACTCAAAGTGACAACTTTGCTCTTCAGCACTTTAAAGAGACCTTTTACAGCAGATTTGCCCTATGCAGTAAGACACCTGATCTCTTGACTGCTGCTTCCATTGGTGTGGACTGTGGATCCCAGTAATACAAAATCTTTGACAACTTCAATCTTTTCTCCTTTTATTATGATGTTGATTATTGGGTTAGTTGTAAGGAGTTTTTTTTTTTTTTTTTTTTTCTTTATGTTAAGGTGTAATCTATACTGAAGACTGTAGTCTCTGATCTTCATCAGTAAGTGCTTCAAGTCCCCTTCACTTTCAGCAAGCAAGGTTGTGTCATCTGCATATCACAAGTTGTTAATGAGTCTTCCTCCAATCTTGATGCCACGTTCTTCATACAGTCCCGCTTCTTGGCTTATCTACTTAGCATACAGACTGAATAAGTATGGTGAAAGGATACAAACCTTGACACATGCCCTTTCTGATTTTAAACCATGCAGCATTCCCTTGTTCTGCTTGAACAACAGCCTTCTGGTCTATGTACAGTTTCCTCACGAGTACAATTAAGTGTTCTGGAATTCCCATTCTTCACACTGTTATCCATAATTTGTCATGATCCATACAATCCAATGCCTTTGCACAGTCATTAAACACAGGTAAACATCTTTCTGATATTCTTTGTTTTCAGCTAAGATCCATCTGGTATCAGCAGTGATATCCCTCATTCCACATCCTCTTCCAAATCCAGCTTGCATTTCTGGAAGTTCCCCGTCAATATACTGCTGCAAATGTTTTTTTAATTATCTTCAGCACGATTTTTCCTGAGTGTGGTGTTAATGATACTGTTTGATAATTTCCACATTCTGTTTGATCACCTTTCTTTGGAATAGGCACAAATATGGATCTCTTCTAGTTGGTTAGCCAAGTAGCTGTCTTCCAAATTTCCTGGCATAGATGACTAAGTGCTTCCAGAGCTGTATCTCCAGCTCCACTGAAACATCTCAGTGGGTATTCCATCAATTCCTGGAGCCTTGTTTTTTGCCAATTCCTTCAGTGCAGCTTGGACTTCTTCTTTCACTACCATTGGTTCTTGATCATATACCACCTTCTGAAATGACTGAACATAGACCAATTCTTTTTGGTACAGGGACTCTCTGCATTGTTCACTATTTTGCCCACAGAATTCTTCAATACTGCAATTCAAGGCTTGAATTTTTTCTTTAGTTTGTTCAACTTGAGAAATGCCAAGGGTATTCTTCCCTTCTGGTTTTCTAATTCCAGGTCTTTGCATATTTCATGATAATAATTTACTCTGTCTTCTCAAGCCACCCTTTGAAATATTCTGTTCAGCTCTTTTTATCTTATAATTTCTTCCTTTTGCTTTAGCTACTCTTTGCTCATGGGCAAGTTTCAGAGTCTCTTCTGACATCCATTTTGGTCTTTTTTTCCCTTCCTGTCTTTTTCATGATCTTTTGCTTTTCTTCATGTATGATGTTCTTGATGTCATCTCACAACTCATCTGGTCTTTGGTCACTGGTGTCCAATGCATCAAATCTATTCTTCAGATGGTCTCTAAATTCAGATGGGATATACTCAAGATCATTATTTAGCTCTCATGGACTTGTTTTATATTTTTTAGCTTCAACTTGAACTTACATATGAGCAATTGATGGTCCATTCCATAGTCAGCTCCTGGCCTTGTTTTGACTGATGATATTGAGCTTCTCCATCGTCTCTTTCCACAGACATAGACAATTTGATTTCTGTGTATTCCATCTCTTAAGGTCCACATGTATAGTCACTGTTTATTTAGTTGAAAAAAGTATTTGCAATGAATGAGTCATTGTTCTTGCAAAATTCTACCATGCAATTTCTGGCGTCATTTCTATCACCTAGGCCATATTTTCCCACTACTGATGCTGCTGCTTTGTTTCCAACTTTTGCATTCTAATTGCAATTATCAATACATCTTGGTTGCATTCTTGGTCAATTTCAGACTGCAGAAGTTGATAAAAACCTTCAATTTCTTCATCTTTTGCTTTGGTGGCTGGTGCAGAAATGTGAGTAACAGTTGTATTAACTGGTCTTCCTTGTCGGTGTATGGATATTATCCTATCACTGACAGCACTGTACTTCAGGATATATACTGAAATGTTCTTTTTGACAATAAATGTGACATCATTTCTCTTCAGTTTGTCATTCTCAGCATTGTAGACCATATGACTGTCTCATTCAAAATGGCCAATACCAGTCCATTTCAGCTCACTAATGCCTAGGATATCTCTATGTGTTCCATTTCATTTTTGACAACTTCCAATTTTCCTAGATTCATACTTCATACATGTTCCAATTATTAATTGATGTTTGCAGCTGTTTCTTCCCATTTTGAGTTGTGTCCCATCAGCAAATCAAGGTCCCAAAAGCTTTACTCTATCCACATCATTAAGGTTCACTTTACTTTAAGGAAGCATCTCTTCCTCTATCATACGTTGAGTGCCTTCTAACCCAGGGAACTCATCTTCTGCCACTGTATCAGACAATGTTTCAAGACTCTTCATAAAGCTTTCTAGTAGTATATCAGAGCAATCAATCTACTTCCATAACGATACCGCCTGAGAAACCAAGAGGGGTTGCTATGAGTCAGATCCGACCTGATGGCAGTGAGTTTGGGTTTTGGTTTATCAAACAGTGTTTCACTGTGGTTCATAAGATTTTCAGTGGTCAATTCTTTCAGAAGTGGATGGCCCAGCCTTCTTCCCAGTCTGTCTTAGTCTGAAAGCTTCAATGAAAACTGTTCACCATGGGTGACCATGCTGGTATCTGAAATACTGGTGGCACAGCCTCCAACCTCACAGCCATACACTAGCCACCACAGTATGAAAAACTGACAGATGAGTGATGGACACCAAACATATTCATAGTAATTATTTCTGAGTGGTACAGATTCCAATTATCTTTGATTTTTGCTTCTCCTTTCACCAGTTTTCTGCATTGGCCATATATTATTTTCAAAATTCAAGGGAAAAACTAAATTGAAAAATAAGAAAGTAATATGCAGTTCTTTAAAGAAACAAGGAAGAACTTGAAAGGAAAAACCTCACGTGGGAAGGCGTGAGCACATTCTCTCTACAAGTGGAATGATTTCAGATACTGCCACATTTGGATTCTGAGAACAAACTTACTGAATACCATAACATAACAATAGATAGATAAATTCATTTTCCCTTTAGTTCACCTAAGACTGGATTCACATTTTTCAAAGGAATTTAGCTAAGAAATCAAGATAAAAATAAAGCCATAGAAATAGTAGTTTACTCATAACCTATTCCTTTATTCAAACATAATTAAATGAATAAAAGTGTAGCTGCTCATTACTTCACCTCAGCGTCATCCTGATCCAGTCTGCTTGAAGCAAATATATCAAGTAGCCAACTCTTAAGGCTAATTTGAGCCTTACATGGCCTATAGTTTCTTTACTATTGTCACTGACTAGCATCTTGCCCTGGTCTCTCCAGGGACCAGATGCAAGATGGCACAGGATAGGTGATCAGTTCAGAAATTCCTTGAGATTATGTTCTTATATCCAATCTCAAAGGATATTCCTAGGCCTACGTACATTTGTATAACAAAGATAATTGCCATATTTAATAAAAGAATGGCTTCCTAGAATTCTGTCCTTATAGGTCTAAAATGAGCTCTGGTGGCATAGTGCCTAAGGCATCTGACTACTAACCAGAAGGTGGCAGTTCAAACCCACCAGCCACTCCACAGAAGGATGACTGGGTAATCTACTTCTGTAAAGATCTACTGCCTTGGAAACCCAAATGGGGATCGCTATGAGTCGGAATCGACCCGATGGCAGTGAGTTTTTTGTTGTTTTTTTTAAATAGGTGTAATAATATAAAGTGATACATAGAATAACAGAGATAACCGCAAAAGGAAGGTTGTTTTTTCCATATACTGACATCATAGAGTAGGGAGGGCAAAAAACATAACAGGTAAGTTACATTACAGTTTGATATAGCTTTCAAATATTAGTATTTCTATGTAATTAAAATGTTATGCCATCACGCAGACTGAAATATTTGTACAGACTTTTGTCCTCCAGGTCTATAAAAGAAAGGAAAAAAAATTCAGGTACTACAAAAATAAGCTGATCTTGAAAATAGGGGAATAAGTCTCTAGGCTTTTACTCCATAGCTACCTATTTTAATAAAGTTTTCCTATTATAAAACAAACTGCCAATTTCTAACTTACCTTGCTGGAATCCTTTCATTCTCTGTTTCTTCCCTGGTTCTTTAGAAAATGTTCCTAAAGCAGTATTTGAGATTTCTTTAGCTTGTCTATATTGTTTCAGCTGCTTGACAAAATCTTCTTCCATTTCCTGACTGTAGGTACCAAAGTTGTCATCACTGTAGGTACTGTATTCATCATACTCTTTATTTTTGTATTTTTTATGTTGATCTTTCTGTGATGTCATGTAGTTTCCTGATATATGTCCACGCTAAGTGAAAATGAACAATTATTATCAGGATTTTCACTTATGTATAGCAGTTGATAGTATCATAGGTATCTTTTTCCCCAAAAAAGTTGGGGAAAAGATAGTTATTAGTTCTGCCTCTTAATCACTGCTTATCTACAACACTATTAAAACTAGGTTCAAAAAGCTAAATGCTACTCTGACAATATTAAACATTTTAATGTTCATGCTTAAGCTTTTCTTTTCTATGTCCTATGTCAATACCTATACATTATACATAAGACTACTAAAAAATCCATATCATCATACATGAATCTTCTACACAATAAAAAAAGGTCTTTTTGAAAATAAGGAAAAGATTGTAATTATGAAGTAGAAAACTATATTCTCCTAATTTTGAAAATTTCAAAATGACATCTTTAAGCATATTATGTTTAATTAAAAAGGGTGGAAAATTTTGTAAAAAGAAAATGTTTTTATCTGAAATCTAATAGAAAAAGTAGAGTTTTCCCTAATAGTGAAAAACATCTGGTGAATAAATTGCTCATTAAGAACTGTTTATTACAATATATATTATTAATTTTATTGCTTGCTTACTAAAGCATGTGAAAAGAAAAACTACACTTTAGTCCTATAAGTTTATTTAATTATATCATTCAAGTCTATCTTTATTTACTGAAATATTTTTATTAGTGCTATCATGTCCTGTCAATTATTTTTATAAGCAAGAAAAAAAATGCACATGATTACAACTTGAGGATCTAGAAATGCCCAGACCATAACTCATTTCAGTTTAGTAAATTTTAAGTGTGGTATCATAATACTGCCTTAGAAAAATACCTCTTTGAGACTGTGTGTTTAGTAAAATGCAGAAAGATATTGAGATTTTTATTAATTATAAAACAGAGGGAAAAAATATACAAAGTTATCAAGAAAATCAACTAGCCAATGAATTTAAAATTTTAAAGGCACTATTTTCTGACTTGTTTTAAGCAGAACTTTTTAAAAATCTGTGTCTAGCACAATTCAGGAGATTTATAATTATAGCCAAAAGATGGTATTTCTGATTATTTCTTAAAGGCCAGCATGAAAAGTAAAACAAAATTTTAAAAACTGTCCATATTATTAATAAAGTTAAATGTTAACTAAAATAATTAGTTGAATGGTGCTTATAAAAATATTACTATTACTGCTTATGACATATTTCAATGCCTTATGATTAAAAATTACTCTGTTAATGAATAAGTTCAAATTTTTCTCTGGCAATTAGACACTTGCCATAAAAGTTTTTAATCTTCCATATTAATTTAATTTTTCACAGCCTTTAAAAAAAATCTCCATATTTCTACGTTTTAAAATAGATTTATCCCTAAACTTTCAATTTATCCCCTCCCTAGTTTCCCCAAACTGAAAATATTTCCAACAGCTTCCCCAAACAGGCAAGTATTCCACCCTAGGGCTCTTCAGGAAAAAAGTTCTAAAGCCGTCTGCTGGAGACTTTGGCATAAGGATCAGTGTGGCAGGCACACGCTGAGAGCCAGGCTGTCCAGGCTGAAAGGGCTTGCTCTCCAGGAGCACTAAGTGGATGAAAGGTTACAGAGTAGGCCCAACTCTCTAGAATACCCTCTACGTTTTACATGTTCATCACTGGAGTTAACAAAATGCACTCGTCAACAAGGATCTAACAAGCATTTTTTTAAAGCCCTACTAAAAGGACATAAAAGAAATAAAAGATTACAAATTCTACCAAAAGATACAATTTCTCTGATTGTCTTGATAAGTGATTATTGGGCTGTAACCCAACTAGAATGTCTGTGGGGGCAGGTTTTGTTTCTGTGAGACAGAAATTGGCTCCACAGTAATCATGGGAAAATATGAAATGAGGAAATAGGAGGTCCTGAGCAATGATGAGGAAAAGGGAAATTATATTTAGTCCTTTAATTTAACTGCTGGATGTTAATTCTATATTCTATTTTTGGTCTGGAATTATGTAAGTTATATAATGGATACCTGCTTTCCAAAAAATGGAAACTTGAGGATATATTTAGGGTATTTTCTAATTCTCAGTGAGTCGAATCTAAAATATAGGTGGAAGAAATGGTACTAAACGTTCTCTTCTCATAATGGTAGACTAGGTCATTCAGACTTACCCCTGAAAAAAGTAGAAAAGATAGAAAAAATATGTTTTAAAATCCACTTTAGGACATCAGAAAGATGATAAATTAGTGAATGATGACTGGACCAGTATCTACCAAGTAGATGAAAATCCCAAAAGTGAGCAGCACATGAAACTGCTTTTGCTTTCACTCTCTAAGAGTGTCAGCCAATCAAGAATAATCAGCTGAGGTGGGGACCAGATTTGCTGGTCCTATAGAGCCTGGTGAAACCACTGAGACTATGGTCCCTAGCTGCCCTTCAGGTCTGGGATTGAACCCACACCTGTGGTTTCCAGCCAAAGAACAGGCAAGTGAGTTAAACATTTACCTCAAGTAGACACACACCCTGGAGAGAACAATCATGGGAGAAGGAAGGGCTGCTTATGCACAGGGAGACAGCTCAGGGCACAGAAGAGTATGGAGGGATGGACACTGGGAAGAGGTAACTATGGGGAGGAAGTGGGAGGGGAGCTGTTGCATTGTAAATTTTGGTCAATGACATGAGACAAAGTATATGTGAACTGCTGTATGAAAAGTGAATTTACTCTGTAAATCTTCACCCAAATCAAAATAAAAAAAAAAAAAAAAAAAAAGAAATAATCAGCTGAAAAGCTGAATAGCACTTCTGAATGTACCTTTAATCTATGTAAACAAAAGATAGAGTCCAGAGTCTGGTAGGAGTGGAAGCCCTAGTAACTTCTATCCCTCCATTTTGGAAGAATCTCAAAGAATGAATCAGGCACTGCAGCCCAGTGTTAGGTCTAGAGTCTAATCTGAGGTAGCCCAGGAAAGTCTCAAATCCTGAAATTATAATAAAATTTGGTCCCCAGCATGTAGCAGAAACAAGCAAAGATACTCTCAAGAGGAAAAAAATACTTTTTTTTTCCTAAAATTATTTTTATAAAATGTACTATATTCTTGCTCCTCACATATTGACCAGATCTCATCTGACATTTGGCATTTACCCAACAGAAAAACATCTACTGTTTTCTGCATTAACAACATACATCTAGCAGTAATGAATGCCAAGTTGTAAGGTGAGAGTAATGCTCACTGTGATGTGCCAACTTGACCGGGCCATGATTTTCAGGGGTTTCGTAGTTACGTAATGTTGTAATTCGGCAGTTACATAATGATGTAATCTGGCAGTTATGCACTGATGTAATTTGGCAGTTATACAATGATGAGTCAATCATCCTTCATTTTGTGACCTGATGTGGTGATCCTTCTTTTTTGTATAACACTGATTTTCACCTAACGACCTGGTCTTTGGAACCTAACCATGTGGGTAACTGAGGGGTAGGTGTATTTTGCAATATAATGCTCAGTGCACATATGTGCAGACACATACACATACTCACAACAGGCATATGAGTAGAAAAGACCAGGAATAAAAGAAAGAGAGAAAGAAAGAAATAGATAAATAGCAGATTGAAACTTAGATCTATCTACAGGAAAGAATGATGAGCACTGGAAATGAAATGTGGACAATTCTTTTTTCTTTTCTTAATTTCTTTTGAAACAAAATAATAACATTATATCTGTGGTGATATACACCTGCTGCCACTGAGTTGATTCCAACTCATAGCAACCATATGACAGAGTAAAATTGCCTCATAGGGTTTCCAAGGCTAACATAGTAATTTGGTTTCTAAATTCACAAGAGATTGGGAATACCAAATTAGTAGAAAGAATAGAGCTCTAACAGGCTGACAGAAGTACAGTGACTGACTGGCAGAAACTAGAACTTGGAAAATAATTTCAGATAGGCCACACTGACTTGAACACTCTCCAGCGCTCTTGAAAGCATCAACATCTTTCTAGCAGAGAAAATAATTTATATTCACAATGAGGACTTTGTTCATACAGTAATATATTTAAGAAAGTCATAAAGTGTATCATGTTGTTTTAAAATTTTCCAGAACACCTGAAATAATTTTTAACTTAACGAGATAGATGTCACCTATCTGCAAAATGTAATACTATCTCTTCTCCTAAGTTTTGGGAAAATATTGTTATGTATTCTTTATTTTCAAAGATTTAAAATTTCTAACATGTTTTATAAAACATTATTTTCAAAATACCAGAAAGCAAAGGAATACAATTGAAAGCTTCAATTTTCTCTTTAAAAGGAAATACCTGAGGAAATGGAATGTTATAATCCCTGTAGAAACTAGTTCCTTTTTTACGGGAACTTTCTGTATGTTCAACATCCGAAGCAAGGCTGTAGTCTGAACTGTCATCACTAGATGGAGAATTATGCTGAAAGGAAAAAACAAATTGTTAAGTACAAAAGGAAAAACATTGAACTATTAACAAAATAAACTTGTTTCAGTCAGAGGTGTCAACTAGACTAGATTATAACATCCTAGTAGACTCTGTTTATAGTCACTGAAAAATTCTTGCTCCAAAGGCCATGGTCACACAGAACTTCCCTATGGTTTCCCGGGGAGAAATGTATTTTCCCCTCTGCTCAGGGACTTTAAGTCAGCACCTTCCTTATCATCTCTTTGGTTTGAGGACTTCAAACAGAAATATTGCAACCCTATGCTCTAAATAATCTTAGATTTAAATTAATCTTAAAAGAAGTAAAAACTGGCTCCTTAATCACCTGAAGTGATTCTGGAACATGAGTACTCAGTGTTATATATTAGTTTATTTTTACCTAAAATGGCATTAGAGTTCTCACTCTTTTTCATAAACAGCCTAAAGCTAACAGATACCAAAACATTTCAAACTACAAATAAAAAATACAATCCATAGAACTGCACAAAACTGAAATTAAAACCATAAGTAATTGATACACTGACAAATATTAGGAGTAAACTTTTTCACGTATGAGTATAGTTTTCCCTAAAAAATGTCTCTTCTATTAGGTTAGAATAATGAACTTCCCAGATTACTCACCCTCTTCAATGAGTTACTTAAGTTCTTATCAAGTGAAGACCATGGGTCTGCATTTTATCATCCTTGCATTCCCAGCATCTCGGTCTAGCATAAACTCGGTAAAAACTTGTTGACCTGGACTCTGATGCTTACATAGGGGAAGAATCTGTTTTCCTCTATTTTATTCTGAAATTCGCCTTTGTACAGGTGTGCTAACTGTTTTCCTTCACTTTGTTCTTAAATGTTCTGAGGTGCAGTTTTTGTGGTGTTCATTTTTTGTTGATTTGATAGGTGATACAAAGAAAAAGTTTTATAATTATGCTGTTAAATGCTTCAACTTTAACTGTACCTAATCATTGTTGGTTAGGGTTTGAATAAATATTGTCCTTTAAAAAGCCAAGTTTCAAGGTTGTGGTCACTGCTTGGTCACAGCCAGCTACCCAGAGGGAC